ATCACATTTGCTTTCATTATCATAACCCTTGAGACTCTCAGCAATTACCACTGAGGTTTATGGTTACACAACATTTGTGTTGATGATCTTGAAATCGTTATTACCACGATTTTGAGTGATACCCAAAATCCAAAACCAACTTTTGGATTGACGTTGAACAATAAATATATTCTAGAATTTTCAACAAGGAATTGACGCATATAACCTTTTGGTTCGTACCTTCCGCAGTTTGAAATCTCATTTTTTATTTTTATTTTTGAGTGATCTTTATAAAGAGTTCTCGACCTAAGACTTTTCTTCCCAAATGATCAAGTTTTTATTTTTCTTGAGATTTCACTAATAGCCAGTCAATTAAATCATATCCAAAGCTTACTTGTTTTAATGACTACATTGTTCAAACAAGTTTTTCATTCGGATTTTCGAACTTATGTTGAGTTTTGGAATTTGATTGGAGATTAGGCCACCCATGCAACCTACTTAAAAGAAGCCCTTCACTACTTCTTAACAAAGAGATGTTCATAATTCAACGAGATGTCACACAAGCACTTCCGAATCTCTCTTGATTCAGAAGGAAGATATCATTGCCAGGGATCCATCCGATTTCATGTTACTTTTATTTTTTCATCATAGAATCCCACAAATTTACTTTGTTTTACTTCTTTACCTTTGACACACTCTTTCACAAAAAATTGTATGATTTTGCAAAAGTCTAGTTTTACCTCCAAATGGTTACTTTCATTCAGAAAACAAGTGATGGTGACTTGGCTAATAATTACAAATGGATGAAAGCTGGAATGACGGTTACTTGGAGATAAGGTTCAAATCCGGCGGGTCTTTTCAAATTCTTGATATCACGCCTGTCAATTACACTGTCGTCTGACATATATAGCTATCACATCTTTTAAGGCTACTTTATCGGGATATGGAAACGTCAAAGCGTGATTTTCTTTCACGTATCACGACGTATAAAAGGGTTTTTGACAGTTTATTTTCTCTCACCGCTCACAAAGAATTCAAAATCTATCAAGGAAAAAACCCTTTTCTCTCTCAACTGTTCATTGTCGTCCTCACTACATCAATGACTATTTCATCTGACACTGCCTCGTTTGCATATCAATCCGCCTCCGTTATGATGTTGAATGTCAAGCCACACCAGAATCTTACCCTCAATCTTGACTCTTCTCGATACACCGAAGCTCTACAGCCAATGATCGAGTGCCTGCATTTCTCGCCACTGGCTCAAGCTTTGACCATGGCAGAATCTGTTCCATTGGTTCATGTTTCCAAGGCATATTCCTCTGCCAAGTACATTCATGCTCATAGGGTTATCACAGTCGAGGTTGCTTCACACAAGACTTTGATTTCAAAAGCTCGTTTTTGCAGACACTTAGGGTAGACTCCTACAGAAGGGCTTATTAATCCAGACTAGATTTTTTCTTCTGCCTTCATCGAGATGTTCTACCAGATGGGATATATTGGGGATATCTCTTTTTTTTTGAAATTCAGGAACACCAATCTACCCCTAATGTGGAATGGGTTGCTCACTCTCTTGTTCTAAAGTTTATTTGAGAGGGTTGTCGGGTCTGATAATGTAAGTAAGTTGTTTTGCACGTTAATCTATGGTCTCTACATTGGAGTAAACTTGGATTATGGGGCTATTCTTTGGACACAACTTATTCAAAGCACAGTCTCAACTACTCTCCATTTCGAGATCTCTTGTGCTCAGTTCTGGTCTATTATTGTCAAACGAGCCCTAACTCACTTCCAGGTTCGATTGAATGATGAATCAGTCATGGCTATAATTCTATTTTTTCAAACGTCATATTTTATGGTTTTTGATGCAAGCAAATTCAGCTTCGTCGGTTCTATTCCAGAAGCGATGTTGTTGAATGTTTCGACAGACAATGTCATAGTGAATGAGTATCGCAAATAGCCGTCCTCTGGAGTTCGAACCATGTCAGAAGAACTCAAGAAATCTATTGAAGAAAGGATTAAGGTCAAAAGGGGATGAAAGAGAAAACTGAAGGCTGCTCCTTCTAAAGTAGTGCCAAAATGAAGAAGATCAAGAAGCAAGCTCGTAAAATGAGATCCCCGTGTCTGATTGCTCATGAAGCTTTGGAATCAAGGACTCGTTCAGATGTTCAAAAGAATGATGAAGTTCAAAATGAAGCTGAGGATACAAAAATCACTTCATAACCCATGGTATCAGAAGCCACTCCAACCGAATCACTTATGAAGGTATCATTTACGATAACCACATCTGTTCCTCTAACATATGACTTCTTTCAGGTGCCTACTCCACCAACTCCCCCTGTTATCACAACTATTCCAATCACCAATTCATATCCAATCACTACTACTATTCCAATCACCATTGCTCAACTACCAAAGATTTATGTGGGTGTTTCTCAACCACAGATTTCTTTTCCCCTCTCTACTCCATTCTATACTGACACAACAACAACCACGACAACCTTTCTTAGTACTCTGATGTCTACTGTCAACATATCTGATATGGGGGCACATATCGATTTAGGTGTTACTATGGGTCCAAGTGCATCAACAACTTCACCATTGAGAGAAGATGATCTAGAGGTTATGTTTTAAGAATCATCAGGATGATTTTCAGAATTTTGTTTTTAGCCCCTTCATGGTTCATCAAGCAATCGATGATGATGATGCCCCTATGACGAAAGGGCAATTTAAATAGCTCAACGCTAAGTTGGATTCGCTTTTGGAGTCATCAATTGCCTAATCTAACTATGAGTTTATGTTCAAGTTTCATCGAGAAATGATTGAGATGCTCACAAAAGGTAATGGAAAAATCCTTGAAGACTCAACCAAGGAAATCCAAGCATATGAGAATACCATTATTGAAACGACCGAAAAAGTCAAAAAACTATATGCGGAAGTCACAAAGTTTATGGCTGATTTCCGAAGCTCTGCTGATCATATCACTGAAGCAGCAAACAAAGTCATTACGAGTCTCGACAAAACTTTACAAACTAAAAGAGAAGCCTTTTCTCGTGTTCGAGGTGCACTCAAAACTGACAACTATGAAATTAATGCTTCTATTGTTTCGAAGATACATCAGCTTCAAAAGTATCATGTTGCTGAGAATGCAATCATGGATAAATTGGCTGTGAGTACTGAAAAATTCAAGGTTCTTTCCCTCAAGCTCCATTATGCTAATAAACACTTGGATGATCCGGAGACTGAGAAAACATTCATCAAAAGCTACATGTCGGAAATTAATTAGTATCTGCAACGTCTAGTGGAAACTAATGATTTTATTCTTACTGTTTTGGTTGGACAACACCTCTCTGAAAAGCTCAAGCAGGTCTTTGTGATGTTAAACCACATTGAATGTGTTTCGGAAGGTGATGCTCTTCCGAAACAAGGGGGAGAAAAAGTTAAAGAAAAATAAGAACCTTAACCCCAGGATAAGAAGTCTACTGATGAACATCATGAGGAAAAATCAAAAATAGATCCAAAGGTTAATGAAGCCTTTGGATCTAAAGGGAAAGAGAAGATAATTAACGCTGATGAAGAATAAGTTCTTTTGGAAGGTTAAAAACTTATGAGAAAGAAATGAGACAAGGAGCTTGATGATATTCTGATACTTCGCAAAGGAAGCAGAAGCTAGAGTTGTGAAAGTTACTCTTGCAACACAGATGTCACTGTTTCCTCCTTGGTCCTTAGAAAGAATTCAGAAGGAAGCGATCGATGATCCGAGCATTCACTGGTTGGATCCTTCGGTGTCTTTCGAACTGAATAATACCGCTGACTCTTAGCTCGACTTCCGACTTACTCCGAAAGCCTTCATATTTTGAGGATTTTCTCATATTAAGAATTCTCCATTTTCAGACTATGATGTTAACAATATGCTTTTCTCATTTTATCTCAAGCATGGATAGCCTCAGTTCAAGATATGGAGCCAAAAGAAGATTGTTGTTGTGAAAGTTTATGCTCCTTTTTCCAACTGAACATTTCACAAACTTCAAATTTAAGGGTTTTCGAGGAGCAAGTCTAATTAAATATGACTTTACACTTGCTGATCTACCATGCATGAATCCGAATGATTGGATTTCCTTGTTTATGATTTTGTTGAAAGATGAAGTTGTTGGGTTTTATGTACTATAACACTCCTATGGTGCACATATAACCCCAATGCTTTGGATCTAAGTTTTCTCTAATTATACATGCAACAAAAATAATACAATTAATGAAGCCTATAACTAGAATACAACATAGATATTTGAAATATAAAACTAGTTAGAAAATTACCTCTTGTAGTAGCTTGTAGAATTTGGCCTTTCAAGAGCTTAGCACCTCATGTGTGATGCCTCAAATGAGTCACAAATACCATGGGCAAGTGGAGGATAATGAGAGAGAGAGAGAGAGAGAGAGAGAGGTCATGAAGCACTAAAATTGGCTAGGGTTCAACTAGGAATCAATGGGCTAATTTTAGGTGCATTAGGGGTTACATTTATAATGTGGAATTTCTAGAGTTTCAACTTGTAAACCCTAATCCACTCCCTTGAGCCTTTAATCAAATAATCCATATGATAAGCCCTTTGGAATAAATCTTCATGGAATCCACAAATATTTACTCCACATAATCAACATGGATCATTAGCCCAAACTATAAGTATCACTGATTTACTTAATCAGTCCCCGTTAATTTAATTAGTCTCTTTTGATCACTAAATTAATTCCAAATTAATTATTGACCAATACTAATTAAATAATATGATTTCTCAATTAATATATTATACTTATAATATATTAATGAATCACAAATAACCTATTTCTCAAATATCCATCCTATCAGATTATTTTGGTGAAGGCAACCTGAAATGGACCATGCTACTATCGGGTCAAGTACATACCAATTATAGTTATGGGCTTAGACACGTAATCCAATAGAAGTGAAGTATGAGCCAATCATTTCTCATTTGAAAATAATGCTGATTTGATACATTCATGAAGTTGCAAAAATGGATATGGAAATCGCTTTAGTGTTGAAGAAAAGGCCAATTGTGAAACATGAAGAAGAAACAACAGACTTCCAAAAGAGGAGGCTGGGTAAGATTAAGAAAGAAAATTGGAGCGTGGTGTATCAAAGAAAAGATGGTGATAAAGTTCAAAAAAGTATGTTCTTTTTTTTAGACAAACATTTATATTCCATTGCTGCACTAAGCAACATCATGGGCTTAACTATAGCATGCAAAGCAAACAATGATGCCAATCTGAAATGCTTCAATGACATGATCAAGTGGTATCTTGTGATCAGAAATACCCTTCTAAATTTGATGACCAAACTGTTCAAGGTTCAGAAGAAACAACAATGAAGAATATCATTTTTTTTATTTGACACAAAGGGGGAGATTGTTGAGTTATAAAAGTGATGTGTCAAATTGTATGGTACTAGAATAGTCTTATTTTGACGGGTTGGGCCTGTCCATCCATGTTTTTGTGTTGCTAGGGTTAGACTATTTAATGTGCATGCATGTATCATTCTAGGGTTATCGATTGTATTACCCTACCTAGCTTTTAAAGAAAAGTTCACGTTAAACTCTTCTAAAGCTATTCAATCTAAGCATTCGACACTATTTGATCTTCATTGTTCTTTGTTATTTTGTTCACATTGCTTATAGAATCTATTGATCTAAGTTTTTATTGTTTCAACACCTTCGAAACCAATTAAAAATAATCCATTCAATTCTCATCAATGAGTATTCGATTGTAAGTCACGGGATACCTCACAAGCAGTTCTTCATCTCTCTTGATGTAGAATGAAGAGATCTTTTCCTATGATCATTCTGCTTTCGTATCAAATGAAATTTGATATCACTATCTCCATTTTTTTAATATTGCTTCTCTCTTATATTGAAATCCTTGAGGTTTTGGGTACTACTAACTCGAAACTTAGATTTTGCAAAGACTAGCATATGGTTTCACTTCCAAATCCCCAAAGCAAATGAGCATTGCCTCCATGCCAAAGGAATGATCGTATATTGGTGTTAAAATTACATTATGTACTTGGTTGCGGTTCAAAAATTGTGATAGATCTTATCCAGTTGGGAAAAACAAAAGATCTGATGGACATGACGGTTCAGGATTTTCACGGGAATCAAAGGAAATTATGATGATCATTTTTATGACATGGAGCTTTTTACAGTTACGGTTAAGCAACCAACATAATGCATGATAGTGTATTATTGGATACCGGTTCAAATTCAAAAATACTTTTTCCTATAAAAGGAAGTTAATAATTTCACAGTCAAACTTTATGCTTTTAGATCAAATTTCCAAGAACCCTAATTGTTCATCGTTTCCAAATTCTTCTGTATTCTATGGGACTACTCCTCATCCCACTGCTGATCCAACAACAAAAAATAAAGAGGAAGTTTTGCAACCGATGATGAAGATCCAAATCACTAATCTTCGTTTGGTTCCATCGATTGATCAATATCCGAAGCCATTACGGATGCTTGTTCAAACCCTGAACAACTCTATGTTATCAACTACACTTTCATCCTTGTTTTCAGTTCCGATGGAATGGATTTCTCTTGCTTATTCAAATGTTGTCTTCAATAAAACAACTAAGGTGGTCACATTTTAGTCAATGAATTCAAAGACTAAGAAGCTTACTCGGAAGCAATTTTCCCAAATCCTAAAGCTGCCAGTGTCAGGTACATTCTATGAAGTTTGGACTGATCAAGTGCTTCATATGTTTAATGAAATGGGGCATTAACCAAATCTTACTGGATTAAGTCACTTTAAGAAGTCTAGTCTTCCTTGTTTGGGATTGTGCTACACTGCTCAACAAGACGAAGTTGTGGGCTCGACAAAACCAAGCTTGAAATATATCCAATCATCGTAGGACTGTATTATGGTCTGAATGTTGATTATGTTGCACATCTTTAGGAGGACTTTAGAACGTCAATTTCACACACCAATCATACTAATGGTGTTTCGAGAGCTTATTTTTGAAGCCTGATTTTACAAGATATTTATCGTCAAGATGATATTTTGGTTTCTTCTGATATCGAAACTACTGAGTTTTTTATTATGGTTGCACCAAGGATTTTTGTTGATGGTCCAACTATTTTTCCAAATGTTCCTCGCGTTCCTGATACTATGCTCGAGCTTGTTGATCCTAAAAATTAGATTCTTGTGCAATAATTGGCTTTGATTGATTCTTCTACACCAACTGAGGTTCTTCCACAAAAGGGGGCAGAAGGAACTTCAAAAGCTTCCAAAGTTTCAAAGAAGTAGAAGTAATTCGAAAAATCACCAACTGTGGAGGAGGAAGTTATGAAAGAAATCATCCCATCGAAATCGGGAGTTCTTAAACGAATGAAGAAACCAATAAAGAAGCCTACTGATCCACCAATCAAGACACCTATACAAGAACCTGTCATCGAAAGTGTTAAGCCAAAGACTGTTGATTCTTCAAATATTGTTTCTTCTCAGAAGGGTATAAAGAAGATTCGAAAGCCTCAATTTAACAGGAATGGTGTGTTATTTCGTGACGTCTCTGTTCCTGTTTCCCCAACTTCAAAGAAGCATCAAGATCTTGATATGGCTCACAAGTTACAACAGAAGAAATGTAATAATCTAATTTTACTTAACAATGTGACAGTCAAAACTAATCATAACAATGATAGTGAAAGGTCAGATATTCGCATAGAAGATTATGTTATTGGTTCATCCTGAAGGGATTCTCCTCTCAAGTCGAATTTCGAGGTGATAGGAAATCCTAATGTCAATGTAAATGTATCTAATATGGATACAAATATCAATTTGAGTGATCATCAACCAACATCCATCCCTGAGAAGACCTTGGTCATACCATCCGTGGGATACGGAGGAGGTTTGAGCTCTAGACATCCCTGTAAACTTATCTGATAAGGACATACATGTCAATATGGATGAAGGGATACATAAAAATAAGTCACCTGTCACTTCTACCATAGATACTTCTACCATCAACATTTCTATCATCAACTCATCTACCATCAAAACTTCCACTATTGAAACTTCCACAACTTTATCACCAACTTGATCACTCGTTACAACTTCAGTTCTAGTTTCGACTATATCACCAAAACATTCTGGTATAATGCATGAACCTATTACAAATCTACTCTCATCTCAATCAACTATGGTTGAGAAAGTGGTTCATGACGAAGAACCTAATGATGATGATATCATGGTGTCATTTGCTGATCTTCAATTTGATCCCAAGGAGGAGAATGTTCCTGATAACTTAATCATGTCAGGTAAATAGTTCAAGATCCTTAACTCGAAAATCAAATATATTCTTCAGATACAAGCAGATATAGGAGGAAAGAACTTTGTGACTGGCATCGAAATGGAATATTTGATGAAACCTCTAGAAAATCGCTTATGAAACTTGATTGATGACATTGAGTAGAAACAAGTAGAAAGGTTAGCGTTTCATTCCAAGAGATATGACTATAAGATTCAGAAGCTTCGTGATGTTGAAAAGGAACGTCATGAACTCTTTGTCGAACAAGTGGCTACAATGAAGGAGTCTTTGGATCTCAAAATTGTTGAACTCAAATATGAGTTGTAGAAAGAAGTTTAGAAAATGGAGCAAAATTACACATTGTTGCATGGCAAAGTCGATGTCATTGTGATCATTATCACTAAATTGGTTAAGTTCAATTATGAGTATATGAAAAGCTTGAAGCCAAGTTAGGAAAGGATACTCAGTTGTTTGAGAAGATGGAAGAATTTTTGTCAAGTATCAAGGAGTCTCTTTCCAAGGTTGATTTTTCGAATCAATCGAATGTATCTTAAGAGTATCTTTATCAAATGATTTTGAATATTGAGTCCAATATCAAATATGAGCTTGCTCCAATCCTTGAGTTGGTCCTTCATTTACCAACTAATGCTCCGCGTGAAGTGCTAGTCTCATAAGGTGGAGAGAAAGGAATTGGAGGAGTTGGTTCTTCAAAGGATTCTGATAAAGAGAAAGGAGTTGTAGTTGCGAAAGTAATTTTGACTCAAATTATGACTTCACTTCCCATGTCTTTGCCTACAACTTCCACAACAAAGAAAGAGCTTTGACAAAGAAACAATCTCTTAAATGATGATTCAAGTGATAAAGAAAAATCTATATCTGTTGTTCTATCAGAGGAAGAGAAGAAAACGAAACAAGCTCTTGAAATTAAGAAACAAAGGCAGATCAACATCATTTTGAGGCGAAGAGAAAATGACCCACCTGGCTTGAACAAGGGTGATCCCAACAAGCAGTGGTGTTATGAAACAATTGAATATATAGTTTCGATTGGAATGAATGATTAATTTCGAAAGGTGCCTAAGAAGAACTACGACATAGAAAATTCTGATTTTAATTAGTTGGACATTCCGATCAATCACATGTTGTTCACTTCTTCTCAATTCAAGATTGTCAAGAAATTCAATGATAAAGAAGAATTCAAAAGATTGAAGATACGATTTCACACAGTCTTGAGGAAAAATGAAGAAGCGATATGGTCTCCTGTGAAGATAGTAAAGGTCATGAGCATAATTCGTGACAACTTGTTCGAAGGTCTGCTACAAAACTTTCGTTACGTTGTCTTAAGTGCAAATAATGTTGCTTTTGAGTTCATAATAACAAATTTTCCATTAATGAACTTAAATGACTTGATCACATTCACAAAGATATTGAGTGCTGTGGATGTATCGAAGATAACGAAAACCAACAAGGATGATTTCATCATTAGTTTTGCTCATATCAAAGTTTTCCTAGACAATTACTATGATTACTTGGAAATTGTTGATATTGAGCTTGCAACAGCTGTGAAGAAACCTTCAAAAGTCCATCAATCTTTACTAAGAGGAAAGCTTAACATTGATGATTATGAAGATAGTGAAATAATTCATCAACCTCTTGGTGTCGTGTTTCGAGGAAAGAACAGGAATGGGCGAATGATAAAATTCTTGTTTCAAGTGAGTGATCTTGAGAGGCATACGAACTCTCATTATATAAATCTCCTTATTCGAATTAACAACTGCAAGAAGAATGAAAGTGAAGACAAAGCAAAAATTCGAAAGACCATTTGGAGATTCGTAGTTTACTTCTACAGACTCTAAAGTTGATTGCATAATTTCGACTTCTCTCACTAAATAGGAGATTGTAAGGGTCAAAACGTTAATAATGAGGAGTCAAATTGGTCTGAGTTTGTAAGGAGTCGAAATCCAAATGATCTCGACTCTCTATCTATTTTACAAGGCATTGTTGTATTCAAAGCTTAGACGTTTAGTCCTTGTAATTTTTTGTAAGTCTGGTTGTATCCTATAAATAGGATATGTACTAGAGTAGAGTTATAACTTTGAGCGTGATTCTATATTTTGTACTCTCGAACACCTATACTCATTTCAGACTTGAATACTTAGTTCTCATTTTGATTGGAAATTCTAGTTCGAAGGTATACGAATGGGAATGTACTTTTAAGACGACCAAGAATTTGAGCCATCCGTAGAAGTTCAGAGTCCGGAATGCAAGTACCAAATAGTCTTGATTTGTGAAAATTAACCTTGAGCCCTGAAGAGATTTGGAAGCACTTGAGGATGCGAGACAAATTCTGAATGGATCCATAATCCCAATCACCAATAAAAATAGCATCTCATGCGTAGAATAGGTGAGACAACACAGACCCGCTATGAGGAAGTTTAATTCCTTTAATCAAGTTTTTTTCCTGAGCTCCTTTGATCGCAACATGTAATCCTTCCATTGCTATGATGAATAGGAATGGAGATAACGGGTCTCCTTGTCGCACACCTCAGTTAGTATGAAATTCATCTGTAGGGTTGCCGTTTACTAATAACGATGCCTTGGAACTAGAAAGACATCCACGTATCCAGTTTCTCCATTTATCTCCGAAAGCCATCTGATCCATTATGGAATTAATAGAGTCAATGCCTTTTCAAAATCAACTTTGAAGAAGAACATCAATTTCGTTTCTTTCTTTGCCCAAGAATAGATCTCGTTCATCACTAGAGGCCCGTCAATGATGTTTCTCCCTTTTATGTATGCTAATTGCACCTCATCCACGATGTTACCAATTACGATTGCTAATTACCTCTCGGATCATCATGGGACACCCGAAAACCATTCTCATTTAATGACCAAATATCTGAAAGAACAAATAAACAATTTATGAAAAATTACACGATCTAAAGTAATGCGCATAAACATTCATCTCTTGATTATACCAGTGAATTAGAGCAAGAATTCAATCCAAAGTTGCTAAAGAAAAGTCATTTGTCCAAAAATCGGAACTTGAGAGAAACCAAGAATTTGCAATCGAAATAAGGACTTGGTATTTTTTTTTCTTAACCACTTTATTTAGGAGATTTTTTCACCTATCTCATCAAAGAAACACGTTAAAAAGTAAAAATTGTCAAAGTTACGATGTTTTTTGGTAATTTTTCTATAATTACCATGATATTTGTTTCGTTAGATCATAGATGCTATTTAAATTGAATTGACAAAGTTCCTTGCAATAAATTAGAAGACTCGGCCCTAAAAATAGTTAGAATCCTTATCCTTAAAATATGACATTTACGTTTAACAATGTTAAACGAATGTTTATTCTTGGAGTTTAAAAAAACTACTCATGGTTGCTCAGAGTACACTGTTTTCGCAAATTCCATCACCCATAGGATACGATAAAGAAATATGACAGTTTTTCCAACATAAGAAAGACTGCCCCTCAAAGGTGATGTTTGACAACATGCCGACAGTTAAACTAACAAAATATCTACTGTGTCATGGATAAGTAAGCATATTGACATAAAGTACAAAGTAAAAACCCCATTCGATGTTTGTTAGAATAAAAGTGATGGCAATGAATTATTGTGAGTGTGAAGAAGAACAAGTAGCTCTAAAATATACAAAAGTTTACAAGTTCGAGTGATTGAAAAAGAATCTTTGATATAATGAGTGGTGGAGACTAATTTAAAGGTAAGATAAATCAACTTTTTAGAAAATTTTCTTTATTATTATTAGATTTTGATTTTTTATAAATGAAAATATAAAATATTTAGTTTTCTAATAGGTTTTGAATTTGTTTTATAAGGATTGTATGAAAACGTTTTTTAGAATATGTAATTTCAACCCTATTCCCCGAGGTATCACGAAGTTCGATTTTAAACTCTTTGTTGTAATTCTTTTACTCTAGTTTCTTGTTAAAGTTTTGTTTCTATTCAATTCAGCTATTCAATTCAGCCGTTCTAAAAAAAATACCTTGCAATTTTATGTTTAATGAAAAAAATACGCAAAAAGATATTTCGGAAGTATTTCAGTTTTTATGTGGGTTTGTTATGGGGACCTACACATATAATAATACATCCATAAATTTAATTTTTTGAATCAACTTTTGTGTCTCCTTTATGACGTCTTGACCATTCTTCATCTGATATCTAACTATTTTATTGATCTTGACTCTTCTTTTAACATAAAGTATCTGATCATAATTTTAATCGTATTCTCGTCAAATAGTTACATCTTATTCAATTTGATCAATCATGTTAAGTGATTACGATAAAACAAAATTAATATAATTAATACCATTTTTGAAATATATATATATATATATATATATATATATATATATATATATATATATATATATTAAATAAGTTTTATTGTTAAAAAACATAAATTATATTTATTTTGCCGAAAAAGCAACACAAATAACTTAATGAGAGAGTGATTGATGAGCCTTCCTAGATTGTGTAAGATTATTACAAATGGACAAGGTTGCATGATGCATAAAGCAAGGGAGGGGCCTTTTCACCAAATGAAATTATCAACAAAAGCAAATATGGTGGAACCCACTCTAAAAACATCAATTCGATGTTAGATTTCATCAATCTTTGTTGTAAAGTATGTAAACTATAATGATTTAAATATGGAAAGCAATTACTCGTACTTCTTCTAAATTAAAATGAGTACATATTGAAAAACATGGTTACAAGAAAATGCAAAGTAATAATCTAATTAATAGAAAAAATTGCAAAAATGGTCAATGTGGTAGGCAAAATTATATACTTTTTGTCCAAAACAAAATGTTGGTGCACCATTGGTTAAATTTTAGATACCTTGTGTGATTTTGGTCTCTATGGTTAACGCTTTTGTGTGTTTTAAGTCCTGACCCGATCTAAAATGATGAATATGCTCTTTGATAATTTTTATTTTTATTTTTAACTTTTTATTACTATTTTCATTAAAAATAAAAAGAAAATAACGTTATCCTCTCTCTCTCTCTCTCTATCTTACTCTCTCTACCTCTCTTTCGTATCTGACTTCATACAACATTACAACCTACTCCTTAAAGTTCTTGATTCATTGACGATCAGTGACTACAGAACCTCCTCCGCCTTTCTCCGGTCACACTCCACCACTTCCTACTTCCCAACACCATCCACTGCCGCCACTATTTTGGTCGACCAAGCCCAACCCTCAGCACCTCCACCACCATCCACTGTTGCTATTGTTTCTCTTCCTCGTCAATCACCATTGGGCTGGAAATAAGGAAGCAGCGGAACTGTTGTGCAACCACC